GGGCTGCTTCCATCTGATCAGTTTCCATTTCTGTAAGGATATAGGTTGTGCCCCCTACATCACCCTGAAACCATTCCATCCCAGTCCTTGGGAAATCTGTCTTCTGGGAACCCAAGGCTGGAGAGACCTGGTTTAAGGAGAAATGGGTTGTGGCTCCATGCCCTTGGTCCCTATTGGATAACACTGTACTAAGCTGATGGTAGTGTGTACGCTGGTCTGAGAGGTGATGTGATGCCTTTAGTTTGACTTGATTATAACAGCATCTAGGAGAGTTTTTACTTAGTGAGGATGTAATCTTTGTGCACACTATAGCACGTAGACCTGCTCAGCATGGCCCTGGGCTGCTGCTGTGAGTTAGGCATTTAGGCAGAGGGTCTGTCTTACCTTGGAGTACACAGTTTGGACAGAGAGGGAAATATAGTCCATCACAGATGAAAACTTGGTGACCTACATCCAGCCTTGGTAATTTGCTTGGATTGGAAGCAAGACTGGGCAACAGAATCGAGGGAATGAAGTAAACGGTATGTTAACTGGCTTAGACTATAATTAATTACACTATAGAGTTGGTGGCAACAAACTTGTACAAAGGGTTGATGGAAATTCCAGGGAAGTGTTTTTGTGAAGTGGACACAACACTAGGTTATTGGAAGAAAGGAAAAGCATAAGGAACACCTGGGCTTCAGGACTTCTGGTTGCATTGGATCAGGGCGAGAAATAGAATACAATTACAGTACGAAGTGCTTGTCCTTGCTTAGCTCACAGGGACCTACACCTTAAAGGAGCAGGGTTATTTTGGGTCCAAGGCAGAAGGGCACAGTGGAGGGAAAGCTGCTCACCTAATAAGCTGGGAAGGGAGAAGAACCTACCAGGTCACCACAGTGACTCGTCTCATCCCGTCTGACCCTACCTCCTAACAGCAAGTCGGCTGGAAGCCTTCATGAGGCTCTGCATGACAGTTGCTGTGTCCATCACCAAATGAAGTACTTGCATTATTTTAACCCTCAATCCTGGGTTAGGAACTACGTAGCCCGTGCTACAGTTACACAACCACTGAAGGGGGTAGTAATGTACATAAAGTTTTGGAGCACAATTTCAACCAGTCTTTGACTCAAGGATTTGAGCTCTTAGCCAAGAGCAAGGTAGAAATTGCCCAGGATGTAGGCAAGTTGCAAGAAAACCTCTAAAAGCTGCAGCCGGAGAAATGAAAGTTTTCCTTTTTTAGTCTTAAAAAATAAAGTGCCCATGGTCACATATAACGTTGGAACCAGGACTAAAGCATGGGTCTAACTGAGCCAGGTTCTAAATCCGAATGCACATTTTGTCTAGAAAGTGATGGCAGAAATTTTGGAGAATAGGTCTATCAAGAATTAAAATGGTTGCCGGGCGTGGTGGCGCGCGCCTGTAATCCCAGCACTCAGGAGGGTGAGGCAGGAGGATGGTTGTGAGTTAGAGACCAACCTGAGCTACACAGTGAGTTCCAGGGCAGTCTGAACTACATAGTGAGACCCTGTCTCAAAAAAAATAAATAAAATTAAAATTAAAATGTAGCCAAGTGATGACGCACATCTGCAATCCAGCACTAGGGACTGGGGCAGGAGGACTGCACATTCAAGCCCAGCCTGGCTGACAGTGAAAATGAAAAGGGCTGGGTATGCACAGTGAGAAGGCCCTGGGGTTCTTCAATCCCCAGCGGGGAGCAGGGTAAACACCACTGACTGCAGGAGAGGAGGCAGGAATAGCAGATCCTTGAAACCCTGAGATAGTTCATGAAAATCCTCTGGGGAGTCACAACAAGTATGTCCGGGCCCCCATCAGATGCTGAACTGAGAACAAAAAGACCAGGGAATCGGCCTTCCTATGAAGGTAAGCAGAATGCACATGCCTACACTACATAGATCCTGTCTCAAAAAACAGTCTGAGAAAGTACTAGCCGAGGGGAAAGAGGCACTAAGTCAGATCCTGGTATTTCAGGAAAATAGGTGAGAAAATTTGACATTTCTGCCACAGCTGGACTGTGAATCAAGAGCAAGTTTAGGAAAAGGTCCTCCCACAGAAGCAGTTCCAGTGTGGTGACACCGCACAGTGGTCCCGTGTCTGAACACAGGTGCGAGAGCCGGCCAGGAGCATCCAGTAGCGGGGTCAGGAATAACCACGTCCTAAGGTGGCTTCAAGGCAGCAGACCTCATAGTTGCCTTGGAAGAAGCTACACTTCAAGAAGCTGCACTTGAGATTCGTGACTGTGAGGCTGACAGATCTGTAATTACTAGGAACAAACCAGACACAGACTAACACTGAGGCCTGTGCAAGAGATAAGCACTCATTTCCAGAAAAAGACTTCAAGTCACTGAATATTAAAATCTGTCACAAGACATAAGTATGGCAGGCGATAGTAAGCAAGGCTTCCTGATAAAAACAACTGATCCTAAGGGTCAAGGCTCTCCTTGGCTGTGCACCTCTTCAGTCAGCCAGGTCCTGAGCCTGGTCCATACCTCTCGTACCCAACAAGGTGTGAAGACTCCTCTGCAACCTTCAAGGAAACGGAGAGAGCAAGCACCTGCTGACCTGGGGTTGCCAGCCCATACCCCAGCACCATCAGAACGCTGTCCCTGGCAGTCAAGGACACATTCGGGCACTGACAAACACCCTTGCCCTACTCAGGGAGCTCCCAGGAGTTTGGCCTGGCATTTTGAGGGAGTAAGTCAAGGCAAGAAGTCAAGACTCAGGAAACCAGGAAGTCCCACAAAGGAAGGCAGAGGAAGAACCTCAGGTGCCATCAGGGTGGCATCCACAAGTCACTAGGACCTCCCCAGAGGCCACAGGAGGACAGGCTGTCATCTCCCCTAGCCAGGAGGGCTGGGCTGGAAGCCACAGGCTGGTTCCCAGCTCCTCGCAGCCCTTCCTCCTCGTGATGACAGATGAGCTGCCAGCCTGCTGTCCTGAACAATCAGGTATAGACAAGGAAAGCCACCTGTCTCCTGTCTCCTTCCACACAGTGAGAACATTTCTTAGGGTCTCTTCGCTTCCGCAGGACCCACACCACTCTCAAGAATTGATGCCTGGCATGGTGGCACACTCCTGCCATCCCAGTTACTTGGGAGGCTTAAGCAGGAGGGTGGATCACAAGTTTGAGGATATTCCAGGCAACTTAAAAGATGGACTCAAGAGTGCCGGGCTGGGATTTAGCTCAGTGGCGCCACGCCTGCCTCACAAGCACAAGGTCCAAGAGTGCTGAGGATGTAGCTCAGTACATAGTGTGCATGTGAGGCCCTAGCTGGGGAGGGAGGAAGAAGGAAGGAGAGGGCAGGCGGAGGGTGAGTTTATAATCCCAGCACTCGGGGGAGGGAAGGGGAGGTGGAGAAGGGAGGGAGTGAGAAAGCAGGGTCTTCTCCCCCATTCCACACAGTGCGCAGCTGCCAGGCTGGCCCAGACTGCCGCACGTGGGATGAAGCAGACGGCAGAGCTGGCAGCTGCGGGTTCACCATCTGTCTCTGTCACTTACTGCGACCTTGCCAGGTTACTTAACCTCGCTGCAGCCTGCTGACTACTGAGGAAACGGCAGAACAGGGCTGTACCTGCTCCCAGGGCTCTCACTTCGCGAGGCCAGGGAGTGGGGCTGTGAGGGTGCAGTCAGTACAAACCGAAAGGCCCAAAACCTGAGCTGAAACCTACTGGGCAGCCGTGAAACCCGAGCTCCACCACCCTGATCTAAGAGCGATTACACGGGCGGCAACAGGGCCCTCAGCAACCTTCAGGAAAGCCACCTCACAGGACCGCCTTCCGGGGGCCCTGAGCCCCTGGTGACACAGAACTGAGCCTCGGCCCAGGCTGAAGGGCCACGGCCTGGGCACCTGTCACAGCAGCCTCTCCCTGCCCAGCACAGGCTGAGCGCAGGGAGTGCCGGAGCTCAGTCAAACCTAGAAGGGACTCCCAGAGCTAGACCGGTCGGGCCAGGCGGCCAGGCTTAGGCCCGAGTCACAACTTCCTTAAAGGTCAGCACAGCCCAGTGAGCTGGGCGGATGAACCAACGTTGCACTGTCACTTTTCCTGTTTTTAAATTTTATTTGTGGTAGATTCTCACAATAGTTCAGGCTGGCCTTGAACTCCCTGCGATGCTTCTGCCTCAGCCTCCTGAGGTGAAAGGTGTGCACCACTATGCCTGGCTGTCCTGTCCTCCGCCTGTGCCTATCCTGAAGGCATCTGGGATTCGCACCAGGTCAGAGGGACTGTCAGATACAGTAACAGTCGAGGGTTCTTGAGTTCTCTACCAAAACGTCACCTCCCGACTATCGTAAGAACAGCCCAAGGACATCCCTGTGCCTCGGACTCAGGTTGACAGTGGCATTCCTAAGAGTGACAAGGCGTGAGTTCCTGTTCCCATCAAGAGTAGTGACATGGTACAGAGCCATTAACAAACTGCACTTAGAAGGCACAGCATCACTGGGCGTGGTGGCGCATGCCTGTAATCCCAGCCCTCAGGAGGCTGAGGCAGGACGATCGCTGTGAGTTTGAGACCAGCCTGGGCTACATAGTTCCAGATCAGTCTCAACTACATAGTGAGACCCTGTCTCAAAAACCAAAAAAAAAAAAAAAAAAAAAAAAAAAAAAAAAGATTCACGTTGTGGGCAGGTGGACACCTGGGCTCTTAAGAGGGCACACTGCCAGCTCTGTGGAAGCCACTGTGTGCACAGCCAGCACACATACATATGTATATGCGTGCATACATGGACATGCACTCAGGAACTCACCACTGAGGTCCCTCACGGATGCAGGAAATAAAGCTAACACCCAGAGGGCTGTGGGTATGGGGTTCAGGAGGGAAGAGGCCAACACTGATTCAGAGAAGACTGGATTCCACCCAGATTTGTCAAAATGTGTTTCCACAGAAGTGATTCTTTCTTCTTTTTCTTTTTTTTTTTTGAGACAGTTCTCACTATGTAGCCCAGGCCGGTCTCTCTCAAACTCACAGCGATCCTCCTGTCTCAGCTCCCCTGAGTGCTGGGATCACGGGCATGTGCCACCACACCCGGCTCTACAGAAGTGTTTTAAGGCACAAAATGCCGTGACACTTTACTTCCATCTAAGCACACACTCAACAATACAGGAAGATTTCAATAACCAAAGAAATTGTACCAAAAATAAACAAATTAGCTTTATTAAGTTACTACTTCAGTCCTTACATGATTTGTTTAGAAAACTTCAGTTTGGAATATATTATTGAAAGTGAGTACACACAATAAATAGGAAAGGGGCTGTGTGGTGCAGGAGGACAGTCACCAGCTTGTCCCTGTCACATGGCGTGAGCATCCCTGCGGACAGTCTGGCCAGAGCCCTGGGAGGCTGCCATCCCCCAAAGGGAGCTCCGCACTCTGACCTCTCAGAAACCAAAGCACACACCTCACTGTGCATCCACGAGCCAGCCTCACTGACCAACAGCACCAGGGAACCTTCATTAAGTTTTTACTTTGCAGTGCCAAGGATTGAACCCAGGGCCCTGAGGATTGAACCCTTCCCTGAACTAGGGAAGCACTGTAGCACTCAAATTTATTCAAGGCAGGGTCTCACTCAGGCGGTCATGCTGGCCTCAAACTTGTGATTGTCCTGCCTCAGCCTCCCAAATAGCTGGGATGACAAGTGTGCGCCACCATGCCCAGCTAAATCAAAATTTTTGCTTGAAATATGATTACTCATCCATCCTAAGCCATATGGCAGGCCTACAACAATAAGTTACACATATTCTGAATTTAATAACTTAAACATGATATGGTTAACATATACTATGTATGCCAACAAGCTTCTCACAGGGAAGGTGCTAATTAAAAGGTATTTTAAGCCAAGGATTTAGCTCAGTGGTTCCACTGTCTGCCTCAAAGGCGCAAGGATCCGAGTTCAATCCCTGGTACCAAGAACAAAACAAAACAAAGTACATTGCAAAAGGTATTTTAAACTACAGTGTAGTTCCTGCTCAGAATGGTGTCAGTATCGATAGCAGTGGTGGTGTCCCCCTTACTGCAAATGCAGAAGCTTGGAATCACACTTGATTGAATGAATACTTATGTACACGTGGGTCCATGTTCTATGTGTGAGTTCTCAGCGGAGCAGGCTGGGCTTAACAACTGCTCCCTGACTCCTCAAAGTGAAGCCCGAAAGCACTGCTCACAGGGACCGTGCAGGCGCAGGTGTGGCCGCCTGTCACCCTACGTGTGGTGCACCTGGTGCAGCATCAGCTCCCGTGGGATGCTTGTCTCCGGGCCATACAGCTTGCACGCTCTCCTTTCAAAGGCGGCCACCATCTGCTTCACCACCTCATCGAAAAACAGCGTGGCGAGCTGAGAGTGCAGAAGTGAACGGAACTCAAATGACACCTGTAAGGAAACGTGCACGGTATAGGAAGTGCTTTATTCTGTTGAATTTCACTTAGAGTTGGGCCCTCGCACGAGACCCGGACCTTTAAGGTATAATGGAGCAGCTCTGTCTAGCTGAGAGTTAGGCCCATCATGCATGGTAATCTTTTCTTTTCTTTTGTATTTCTTATTATGTAACCCCGGCTGGCCTCAAACTCACTAAGCAGCCCAGACTGTGATCTTTCTAACTCAGCCTGCCGTTACAGCACAGGCCTGTGCTACCGAGCCCAGCAATATCAGCAGAAATCTTGCTCACCACCTCAAGCACAACTGCTGCCACATTACGAGCGAAAGTGAACAGGCCACAAGCCCCTGCCCCCACGTGGAGGCTACAGAGGCCTCGCTGAGCTGCATTCACAGCTGCGTCTTCTGAGTGCACTCGGGGGCCGTCACACCCCACACAGGCGCAGCGGAGGGGCAGATGTTGCAGCATCTGTCCCTTTAGAAGACCTGTGCGCCTGCATACAAGTGCAGCACCCTGAGGGACATGGCCAGGCAGCTAAATGCTACAGCTTCAAAAAACCCAAACAACCAAAAAATCAGCTGACTTTTGTTTTTTCTGTAGTACTGAGGATTGGACCTAGCGTCTTCACACTGAGCTGTACCCACAGCCCTTTCTAAATTTTATATCTTAAGACAGACACTCACCAAGTTGCCCAGGCCAGGCAATTTGAGATCATCTTGCCTCAGCCTCCTAAAGTGCTGGGATTACAGGGGTGTGTCACCACGCCTGGCTCAAGAAATTGTATTTTAAGGACCAAATATCCTCTAAATTTTAAAATGTTTTAATTTTTCATCCTTTTCTGGGGATTCTGGGGACCAAACCCAGGGTCTTCACTGAGCTACACCCCAAGCCCTTTTCATTTGGATACTTCATTTTTATAACAAGGTTGCAAAAACAGTATAAAGAATTCCCATGCATCCATCACCCAGATTTTCCTATTTTAATGTTTTATATAACCACAATACAACTGTTAAAAATCAAGAATCAACAGAGGGAATCACTCTTAGGTAATAATGCTGGTATCTAGTTTATAGAGACCTGCAGACCCCCAGCTGTCCTACTCATGTCCACTACTTTTTAAATTTATTTGTACTTATGGCAGGACCACTGCCTTAAGTTGGAGGCCAGCCTGGACTATAAAGTAAGATCCTGTCTCAAAAAAACCAAAACACGAAAAATTACCACCATCCCCTAAAATTCAATGCCTGAGTTATAAGCACAGAGAACAACTTTTTTTTTCTGGTTTTTTTTTTTTTTTTGGATCAGGGATAACATTTTATTTTTTTGGTTCCAGGGATTGAACTCGGGTCCTTGTGCTTTCGGGGCAGGTGGTGACACCACTGAGCCAAATGCCCAGTAATAATTTATTTTTTAAAAGGTGTCTTTCAATATCTCTAGGCATAAAAAATAATTATAGCTAGCACCTGTGTTCTAAAAAAATGGGTTACTACTTTAGCAGCTCCACTTTTTGTTTGTTTGTTTGTTTTGTTTTGTTTTTTGAGACAGGGTCTCACTATGTAGTTCAGACTGCTCTGAAACTCACTATGTAGCCCAGGCTGGTCTTGAACTGGCAGCAATCCTCCTGCCTCAGCCTCCCGAGTGCTGGGATTATAGGTGTGTGCCACCACACCTGGCTCAGCAGCTTCACTTTCTATGTGACACAAATGAGAGACTTACTGAAAAATCCAGTGTGCAAGTTCTTGGGTAGCCAGGAAGGCCCGGGCTGAAACGCCAAATCGTCTCCAAATGTTTGAAAAGTCTCCCATCCGTGCAGGATGCCTGGAAGACAGTAAAACGACTACGATTAACACCCCAGTCCTGGCAGGAATCCAACATCACTGAGGCTTTCATCCTTGAACCTCAATTACTATACAGGCCACAGCATAACAGGTGAAGAGATCCAACAGCCTGACACTATGAGCAGACCTCTACCAAGGCAAGCCATGCTGGGGTTCAGCTGCTCACACCAAGCTGCACTTCCCAAGTACTGGGACTGCAGGTGTACACTGCCACCCCAGGCTCAGTGGCTCCTTTTCAGCTCTTCGCAGGCCTATCCTGAGACTAATAAAAGCCTTTTTCTTTGCTATCTCGCTCTCAAGGGTTTAGGAAATCCTTCCCCTTGGCTGTAGCCACTGCACACAGACAAGCAAAATAAGGACTTGCATAGGCCAACTCTTTCCTCTAAGAAAAGAGATCACTTTTCTTTCCTAACCCTGGCCTCAGCATAAGCAGCACGCCACAGAACATGCCAGAGCACACAGCTGTGGGAAGTACCGTCGGTACAGTCCTGAAACATGAGATGTACAGCAGCGCCTGCCCATTAAGGAGTGACTGTGAGTGCGTGCGTGTGCATGTGTGTGTAGGGGTGCTCACCAGGGAGGAGGGAGGGAAAGTGGGTGGGTCTGTTTACAGTATAAGAGGTCATCTTTATCCTGCACGTGAAAGAAGCCAGAGAAACTAAACAAAGCTGGCGTATATGGCTAGTATGTTTTAGAATTTAGAAGCAGCATCATAAACTAAGAGCTCAGTCGTGTGTGTGTGTGTGTGTGTGTGTGTGTGATTTTATTTTTTTGGTACCAGTGATTGAACTCACGACCTTATGCTTGAGAAGCAGGTGTAGTACCACTGAGCTAAATCCCCTGCCTAAGAACTCAGTTCTAAGAGCTTGAATGGTAACAGAATGAGGTCAGAGAACGCAAAACATTTTTAAGATTATGGTTTCAAGCAGACCAACTCAGTCTTGGTTCTGTGACCTGGGCAGGGTATCCCCTCTTCTAGCCTTCATTTGCTCCATAAGGTGGAAAGTAACACCCAAACCTCCTAGGTTTAGGCCTAACATGGGGCCCAAAGCCTTGTGGGTCTGGGAGGTGCTATGGCTGACTTGTGTTAGCGGGCAGGGCCTGGCCTGGCAGCCATGCGGCTGGAAGGGTCTGCCTCCCTAGACACTCTCCATTCCATCTGCCTTGGAATGAGCAGCTCTCCTCTGTCCTGCTGCTCTGCATGCCATCCTGTCTCGCAGCCAGCCAGCCAAGATGAGCCTCCTTTAAACTGTGGGTGTCGGCTATGGCTGAGGCATTTGGAGCTCAGGAGTTCAAGCACAGCCCAGGCAACATAGGGAGATCCATTTCAAATTAAAATTTAAAAAGTCAGGTGTGGTGACAGACACCTGCAACCCCAGCACTCAGGGAGGCTGCAGCAGGATGATCGCTGTGAGTTCACAGCGCTGTGACTACATAGTGAGATCAAGGCCAGCCTGAACTACAACAAAACCCTGCCTCAAAAAAAGAAGAAAGGGCTGGGGATTTAGCTCAGTGGTTCTGGCGCCTGCCTCGCAAGCACAAGAGCCCGAGTTCAATCCTCAGTACCAAAAAGAAGAAGAAAAAAATCTATCGGCAAATAGGTGAAAATATGTGTAATAATGTCAAAGCCCAGAGCACAGCACAGCCTTTTACAAGCAGTTAGTTTGAAGAGTGACAGCTGAGACTGAAGAGGCTGAGCTTTGCACTCATGTGTCTGAGGAAGAGCCTGTCTGCCCCCAGAGCTGGCAAAGCCCAACGATGCTATCACTGAATCCTGTGCACTCAGAGTGCAGCTTGGCTTTGACTACTAAGCCCAGGCCACTGTTAAGGAATTCTCCATGAATTCTTGCTTTCTGTGGGGAGCCTGCACATTTCTTCCAGATGTGCGCCCTCCTCTGACGAGCACAGGATGACTAACGTCACAAAGCTGGCTGTCAGTACCTGTTACATGCGGACGTTGCCCATATCGCCACACTCAGGTCCTCCCTTCATTATTTTGGTGGTATTAGGGATTTAACCCTGAGCCCCACACATGCTGGGCAAGTACTACCACTAGACTACATCCTCAGCCCTTTATTTTTTGAGACAGAGTCTCACTAAGTTGCCAGGCTGGCCAGCTTGTGATCTTGCATTGCTGAACTTGCAATCATCCTGCCTCAGCCTCTCTACTAGCTGGAATTTCAGGGGGACCACCACTCCCAACCCTTCTTTAACTTTCAAAAAATGTGGTTATTAAACAAATTCATTTTTACCCCAGTGGTAAAACATTTAATTTATTTTCTAAAATTAGTACAAGTATTAAACACTTCTCTCCTGTGGGCCAGATGATCTTTCCTAATTCAGTTGTCCTCAACAGAAGGAAAGAAAGAATGCTACTATTGCATAAAGTAACACAAGAGACATGATAGATGGGTTTTTTTCCCTCTTTTTCCTACTAGTAAAAAGATATCTTCATAAGCTTTTTACATGTTACAGTATGTAATTCATTTGATATAACTAATATTGAAGATTATAACAAAACCCAGAAGAACTATTACCTTTACCAAATGCGGTCTGACCAAGGTTACTACTGAGGTGTATCGCTCCAGCACAGGTGGAAAGCCGATTTCTAAGCGAGTTTTACAATATCCAGATCTCCTTGATATTATATCTGACTTTTTGCACCAAGGAACAAAATGCTTGTAATCCTCCATTCCCGATACCACATCATACATTTCCTGCATTGAATATCTTTAAAAAGAGATATGAAGGGGGTTAACATCTAGTTATATGAGACATATATGTCAGACAGAATAGAATAAAACTTATTCATGCTTCCCTCTGCACCTATGTCAGATTGCACTCTGGAAGACTACAAAGAAATACAGACAGTGAAACAAATCAGAACAGACACACACTGCAGAGATCACAATTTGACAGCTCACGAGGAAATTTATCCTGTAGTTGTGGTTTTTACATTTTCACTCCTGCACTTAAAAATGGAGAATTTATATTTTTTAAAACTTTAAAAACCAAAGGTCTTGCAGTCATAGGTTCACACCTCCATGTAACAATCAGGTAAAGTTAAGTGTGGTGATGTACTCCTGTAATCCCAGCACTCAAGGAGGCTGAGGCAGGAGGATCACAAGTTCCAGTCCACCCCATGTGACTTAGCAAGATGATGTCTTAAAAAAGTAAAGAAATAAAATAAAGGTATACGGATTTAGCTGAGTGCAAAGGTCCTAGGTTCAACTCCCAGTTTTTTGGTTTTTTTTTTTTTTTTTTTTTTTTTTTTTTTTTTTTTTTTTTGTTGTTGTTGTTTTGAGACAGGGTCTCACTGTGTAGTTGAGACTGACCTGGAACGCACTATGTAGCCCAGGCTGGTCTCGAACTCAAGTGATCCTCCTGCCTCAGCCTCCCGAGTGCTGGGATTACAGGTGTGCACCACCACACCCAGCTTCAACCCCCCAGTTCTGCACAAAAGAAAACTGGGTGTGGGCCAGGGATTTAGCTCAGTGGTTCCCTGCCTGTCACACAAGCGCAAGGACCCAAATTCAATCACTGGTACCAAAAAAAAAAAAAAATTTGTTGAGTTGACTAACAATTTCTTACTTTTAGCCAGCAATTTTACTTTCAGCAATTTAATATTTAAAAATACTACCATTGGCTGGGGATTTAGCTCAGTGGTACTGCCACCTATCTTCTAAGCGTAAGGTCCAGAGTTCCATCCCCGGTACCAAAAAACAAAAAAACTACCATATTAATGCAAAAGATGTTCACTTTAATACTGATTGTGAGAGAAGAAACGGAAGCAATCTACATGTCTGTTAACAAACAGATATTAATAAAAGTTTAACAAATCGTAGTGAAAGATTTATGTCGAACTCTATACTGACTACTGAAGTTAGGTCGACTGAACTTGGGTCCTTGAGTTTGTGAGGCAGGCAGCGGAACCACTGAACTAAAATCTCCAGCCTGGTCAAATATATGTATTTTTTATTGTTTTGGGTTTTTTTTTTCTGCTACCAGTGATCAAACTCAGGACCTTGTGCTTGGAAGTCAGGTGGTAGAACCACTGAGCTAAATCCCTGGCCCTCAAATATATATTTTAAGGCAAAGACATTTACAGTACCTTGTTAATGAACAAAGCAGAAAGCAAAGCAGAGTATATATGACTCTTAAGAAAGTGTTATGTATACATTAGTTTCTTCCTGAAAATAATACTGACAAGAGAACATCCATAGCATTTAAAATATCCAGAAGGTTACATATTAAACAATAATCAGTTAACTCAGGAACAGAAGGGTAATGGTAGACTAACTCCTTAGTCTATATGCGTCCATAGTAATTGTTTATCTATATGCATGCACTACTGCTCTTATTTTTGTATGTGTTAAATTCCTCGACACTGAATCTTTTTCCCTGATACTGAGGATGAAACCAGGGCCTTAAACATGCTAAGCATCATAACCCTCCCTTCTATTCCCCTCCCCTTCTCCCTTAGTCTGTTCCACTTGTCTATGAAGTCTCCCTTCTTTCATATCATAATTTTTAGATTCTACATATTAGGGAGAATATCTGTCATTGAGTATAGCTTATTTTGTTCAACATGTCTGTTTAGTCCATTTACCTACTTATTGAACAGGCTATTTGATGTTTTGGTGTTAACATTTTTGAATTTTTCTTTTTTTGGAGACAGGGTCTTGCTATATAGTCCAGACTGGTTTTGAACTATGTAGCCCAGGTGATCCTCCTGCCTCAGCCTCCTGACGGCTGGGATTATTGGCACAAGCCACCAAGTCTGAGTGTTTATATATCCTAGAGGATAATCTGTTGGAAGATACTTGGCAGAGATTTTCCCCCATTCTGCTGGCTGCTTCTTTACTGTTAGTTCATCCCTTGATATGTATAAACTTTAATTTGATATCGTCTCATTATAATGATTCTTATGCTATGAGTCTTAGTCTCTGCCTGTGTCTATGACTTGAAGTGTTTGCCCCATGTCTTCTTTTAGCATATTAAAAGTTTCAGGTCTCAAACACAGGTCTGTGATCCATTTTTGATTTTTGCTCAGCTGAGGTGAGAAACAAGGATTTGATTTATCCAATTTTCCTAGAGACATTTGTTAATCAGATTCTTTTCTCCAACACATATTTTTCTCAAACATATTGCAGCTGCAGGGGTGTCTGCATCCTTTATTATGCTCCATTGGTCTATATGTCTATCTGTGTGCCAGCATGCTGTTACTATGGCTTTACAATATGAACTCAGGGACTGTGAACTGAATTGAGGGATTGTGATTCCTCTAGCTTTGCTCTTTTTGCTCAAGTCCACTTTAGTTTATTCTGGGTCTTCTGTGTTTCAATACGATAAGTATTATTTTTCCTAGTTCTGTGAATGATGTCATTAGTATTTTGATGGGGATTGCATTGAATCTGTAGACTGTTTATGGTAATAAGGCCATTTTTACAATACAGTTCTCTTACCTAGATTGATCCCTAGGCTTTTGGGTTTTTTTTTAAAGCTACTATAAATGAAATTACCCTGATTTCTTTCTCAATTAGTCCACTGTTGGTATATAAAAAAGTTATTCATTTTCCTAATGCTGATTTTATATTCTGCTACTATTTATCTCCTCTAAGTCTTTCAGTACAGTCTTTAAGAACTCCTAGAGAGAGCCAGGGATTAAGCTCAGTGGTTCTGCCACCTGCCTAGCAAGTACAAGGTCCCACGTTCAATCTCCAGTACAAAAAAAAAAAAAAAAAAAAAAATCTCCTAGCGATAGGATTATATAGTCTGTAAAGAATCTAACTTTTTGCTTTCTTATTTGTATCCCGCCCCCAACTTTGGAGACAGGATTGCATGATGTAGTCCAGGCTGGCCTTGAACTTGTAGCACTTCTCCTGCTTCACCCTCCCCAGTGCTGGGATTATAGGGATGCACCACCATGCCTGGCCTCCCTTTCTTCTCTTGTTTAATTCATCTGGTTAAAATTTCAAGCAGTGTATTGACTTGGGAGTTGTGAAGAGAATCCTTGCCTCATCCTCACTTGAGAGGATCTCCCATGTTCAGATGATGCTGGCTGTGTGCCTGTCATATATGGTGTCTATTTTTCATATCTCATTTCTTTAGGGATTTATCATGAAGGGACATCATGCCATCAAAGGCCTTTCCTATGTCAGACAGGATGATCATGGGATTTTTATCCTGAATTCTATTTATATGGCATAGTACATTTCTTTACTTGCATACATTGAACCATCCTTGCATCCCAGAAATGAAAGCAACTTGATCAAGGTGTGTGATCTTTTTAATGTGTTGATAGATTTGGTTTGCAAGTATTTTATTGAAGACTTTTGTTGGTCTATAGTTTTCTTTGTTGCGTTCACGTCCAGTTTTAGCATCAGGGTGATAATGGGCTTATAGAGTGAGTTTGGAGGCTTTCTTTCGTTTCTATTTAATAGAACAGAGTGAAGAGCACTGGTGTTAGTTCTTCAAAGATTTAGTAAGATTCAGCAGTGAACTGGTCTGATCCTGAGCATTTCCTTCTTGAGAGACTTATTACTCTTTGAATTCACTTCAGTATTTGGTTACTGATCAGCTTAGGCTGTTTGTATCCACTTGCTTCAGTTTTTGGCAAGTTACATGTATCTGAGAATTTATCTGTTTCTTCTACATTCCCAAATTTATTAGAATATAGGTTTTTAAAGCAGTCCCTAATATCTTCTGGATTTCAGTGTTGTCTGTTATAATATGTCCCTTTTTCATCTCAAATTGTATTGATTTGGGTCTTTTTTTTCTTTATTTAGTTTGGCTAAAAGTGTTAATCTTTTTAATATCAATCTTGTTTGACAATCCCACGTATTGTTCTTTTAGTCTTTATCTTTTTTTTTTTTTTTTTTGGTACCGGGGATCAAACTCGGGTCCTTGTGCTTGCAAGGCAGGCAGTGGAACCACTGAGCTAAATCCCCGGCCCTAGTCTCTATCTTATTAACTTCAGCTCTGATCTTTATTATTTCTTTCCTCTTGTTGGTCTGGCTTCAGTTTGTTCTTGTTTTTCTGGAACCCTGAAGTTCATCATTAGGTTATTTGAGAACACTCTAATTTCTTTATGTGAGTGCTTATACGTATGAGCTTCCCTCTTAGAAATGCCTTTGCTGTATCCTAAAGATTTTGTTTTCCAGTTTCATCTGATTCTAGGAATTCTTAAATTGTCTTCCTGGATTTCAATGACCACTAATTATCTAAAGTGTTGTTCAATCTTCATGTATTTGTATAGTTCCTGTGGCTTCTTTTGCTGTTGATTTCTAGCTGTATTCCATTAGGATCTGATAAGATACAAATACTACTATAATTTTTTTTTCTTCTTCTTTTTTCTTTGATACTGGGGATTGAACTCAGGACCTTGCATTTGCAAGACAAGCATGGCACCACTGAGCTAAATCTTCAACAATACTACTTGAATTTTAAAAAAGGAAAATAGACTATTCTAGAACACAATGAAAGGAAATCTTCTATTCCTTTTGTATTTTTTGTTTGTTTTTGAGACAGGGTCTTGCTATGTATAGCTCAGGGTGGCCTTGAACTCACTATGTAGCCCAGGCTGGCCTTGAACTCACCCTCCTGCCTCAGCCACCTGTGTGCTGGGATTACAGGCATGTATCACCACACCCAGGTTTTATTCTTTTTATGATTTAGTATAAAAGAAAAGCCTAATAAAAGAGCAGAAAAACAAAAGCTTATAGACCAACATCAACTAGTCAGTACTGATACAAATACTGGAAGAAAAACAGCAGCAAATAGAATCAAACAACGTATTTTTTAAAAGTATCAATCAAAACCAACTTATTTAGGAATATATGGATGATTTAACACTAAGAATCTTATTCTTTTAACAGTATTAATAGACAAAAAAGAAAAAACTATGATTCAACATTCCCATTAAAGAACACAAAAATTTTGAAAATATTAGACAAAACATTAAATATGAGCATGACATACAAAGCATATCTGCTAAAAATAATAGCTACATTTATCAACTGGCAGGTGGTATGAATGCTAAACAGAAGAATCAATTCAGAATTCAGTAAGGTGACCAATTATGAATTATATAGAAATCAACCCCCTTCCTATACTATACAGAACTGGGAAGAAAATACTAGCATAGAAATGCAAAATACCAGGCTGGGGATGCAAATTATATATATATTTTGTGTGTGTGTGTTTTTTTTTTAGTTTTTTGAGACAGGGTCTCACTATGTAGTTGAGACTGACCGGGAACTCACTATGTAGCCCAGGTTGGTCTCGAACTCATAACAGTCCTCCTGTCTCAGCCTCCCGAGTGCTGTGATTAAGGGCGTGCACCACCACACCCAGTGCAAATTATATATTAAACAAGATTTACCTCAAAGTGATATGGTAAACAATTTCATGAGACCCTGTCTAAATAAATAAAGGTAAGGAGCTAGGTGTGGTAGTGCATGCCTGTAATCCCAGCACTTCACAGGAGGATCACCACAAGTTTAAGGCCAGCCTGGGCTATACAGAGTGAGTTCAAGACTATCCTGCACTACAAAGAGAAACTTTGTCTCAAAAACCAAACCCTAACAATTAAAGGCAAGGATGGATGCAGCTTAGCGTGAAAGCCCTGGGTACTAGGAAAAAAAAAAGGAAGATGGGGCCAGGGATTTGGTTCAGTGGCTCCATCGCCTGCCTGGCAAGCTCAAGGGCCTGAGTTTGATCCCAGTACCAAAAAATAAAAAATAAAAAAAGGAAGATGTTTTTGGAATATGACAGAATTTGGGCCTTTCTATGTATATGAATTAATCTTTATAATCATGAAAAGAACACTATATAAAAATGCAGGTCACAGCCTGGCGTGGTGGCGCACGCCTGTAATCCCAGCACTGGGGAGGCTGAGGCAGAAGGATCGCTGTGAATTCTAAACCAGCCTGGGCTACAAAGTGAGTTCAAGGTCAGTCTCAACTACATAGTGAGACCCTATTTCAAAAAACAACAACCAAAAAATGCAGGTCAGCAGCTGGGGATTTAGCTCAGTAGTGCTATCGCCTGCCTCACAAGTGCAAGGTCCTGCGTTTGATTCCGAATTAAAAAAAAAAAAAAAAAAAAAAAACGCAGGTCATATTCAGGCATGTGGTATACACCTGTAATCTCAGCACTTGTGAGGTTGAGGCAGAGGATCACCACAAGTTTGAGGCCTGCCTGTACTACATAGCAAGACACTGTCTCAAAAGCAAAAAAAGAAAATTCAGGTCATAAACAAATTATTTCCTTTATGTGTCAAGGTTTAAATCTATCTATAAAGTACTATATTTATAAAATAGTAAGGGGTATGGAAAGAACAACCAACAAAAAGAACTGTTTAGTAAGAAAATAATCCAGAAAGGGCATAATTCTCTACAAAATACTGTGAACGTGCTTATTCAGTGGAATTATTTTTATATACAAACCCGATAATTCTTCTCTCCGAATAGTCTTTTCTTTTGTTTATTAATGGTGCAGTGATTTTGAAGAAAGTTCTTGCATGTCTCTCCTTAGGCAAAACTGAGGTATGCAGTGGGAGAGTTCTGCTCATCAGTATACCACAGGAAGCTAAATATCTAAAAAAGACAAAAATTACCTGATTTAAGATAACAATAAAAATAAGAGGAAACACAAATTATACATTAAAAAAAAACTATCACATTAGAAGGCTTTGTACTTCAGAATATTCCTGAAAACACCCACTCAATCTCTTTTCCTCTCTCTTAAGTAAGCATATATATATATACATACATACATACATACATATAGCAAAAAAAGCTTCGGGCAGGATATTTAGCTCAGTGGTTCCACCACCTGCTTTGTAAGCACAAGAACCTGAGTTTGATCCCCAGTACCAAAAAAAGAAAGAAAGAAAAAAGCTTCCTCAGTACCAAAAGGAAAACTAAAATTAACAGGTTACAGTTAGGTTAGCTTCTGGTACTAAAGGTATCCCCAGAAAAATGACTTTCAATCTGTAGTTATGAATCACTATCTACTCTTACTGTATGCATGCTAGCATATATATTATCTCTTTTTCAATTCATCTTATCTACCCATGTAGTTTTGCCAGCTGGAACCAAAGTACTTCCTTAATTCCCAACCAACTTCACCAAGACTTGAAATTTGGTCTCACTCTCAGATTAGAAATCTCTTGACTTTGTTCATAGCACCATTGCTCTGTTCTCCTTTACTTTCTAATCTTTATTTCAACAACATATTTGTAAAAATAGGTCTAGTTAGAACATTAAAATTGTTTCAGGGTACTTGTATATACAGATACCTGCTGTCTTTCCGTCCACCAAAATATATTTAACTTTTCCTAGTAAGATGGCGTTTTAGTTGAGGATTCAAAAAAAGTACTAGAAAACAAATAGGTATGGAGACATGTAATTTGGACCTCCTTTAGACAGGGTACCCTAGGAAGCCCTTTGAAGTTATATTTCAACTGAAAAATAATAAAGAGCTAAATGTACAAAGAGAAAAAATAGGTATGTATGCACACAGTAAATATGAGTGTACACAAATAAATATATAGAACCCATACAAATGAATAGTGGGATGGTGAGTATTCCAAACATAGGCAATAAGCGTCACAGTACCCCGAGACCAAGACAAACTAACAATACACTGGTAGTACAGCAGGCCAAGAGGAGAGTACCAAGAAATAATACTGGAGATAGGAGCTGAATCATGTTGGGTATTATTAGCCAAGATAAAGCATACTGAAATTTATTCTCAATGAGAACCTGTTAAAGAGTTCTGAGTAAGAGTCTGACAGTTGACTAAATCAAATCCAAACCCTCAATCTGTTGTTTCGTTTGTTTGTTATTGTTATTATTCGGTCAGTACTGAGGGAATTAAACTCAGAGCTTCACAACATTCCCAGCCTTATTCATTTATTGATTTTTTGAGACAAGAGTCGGGCTAAGTCACTAACTTGTCCAGATTGAGCTCAAACTGATAATCCTCTTGCCTCAAACTTCCAGTGTGCTGGGATTACAGGTGTGTCTCACTGTGCTCAGCCCTTTCTTGTTTTTTTTTTGTTTTTGGTACAGGGGACCAAACTCTGGACCTTGCACTTGCGAGGCAGGCTGCAAAACCACTAAGCTAAATCCTCAGCCTCCCAGCCCTTTTTATATTTTTTGCACAGTTCTACCTAAGTTTCCTAGTCTAAGCATCCTCCTGCCTCAGTTCCCTCAGGAACTAGGATTACAAGTGTGTCCCATCATGTCTAGCTCAAACTATTTTTTAAAAGGGGTGAAATGTCATATTATCATACCTAATATTTGTATAAAACGATTTGCATATAAACTTTTAAAAAATAAATGATATTTCTTCAAAGAGACTGACATCCTACCATTTAGTTGGGGAAGAAGACAGAATAAAGATAAAGGCAGGTTGAAAAACTGAGACTACATAGCCAGAAGATAAAGGATAATACCTAAGAATACAGCTTCAAAAAAAAAAGCCCAGTTCAAGGGAGACTCCATAATTTAAGAATTTTTGAACAATTAAGGTTGTTTATAAAAGGTGAATAGGGGCTGGGAATGTAGCTCAGTGGCACAGCACAGAACCACAGCATATATCATACACGCACTATGCATGTATGTGTATACGTATGTGCTTCTCAAGAGGTGAATTAGGTGTCTGGTTGGCCACTTTTTCATTGTACACAATCTTTTTTTTTTTTCTCCCAGTACCAGAGATTGAACTCAGGACACTGCCCTTGTCAGGCAGGTGCAGCACTGCTGAGCTACATCCCCGGCCCTCTACAGAGTTTTGAAGAAGGCTCCTGTACGGCTTTCCCACACTCCTCTAAAGATTCCCTTACACAATCTGCTTACAATCCTAAAGGAACTATCTGTACGTAAAGCAAACCAACATATTTCCTGATCACTGAGCATGCTATGGTTACAGTGGTATGGATAATATATCTACTTTTCTCATACTATCAATAATAAGGGTTAAGAGGGTATAGGTCAGGGCTATGATGCCATGCTTAGTGTGCGCCAAGGACCTTGGCTCCATCCCCACCAAGACGAAGAAAAAAAATGTCTTCAACTGTAATATGAAGTGCTGTAAGTCATATTCACAGTTAAACTGTGAAATGAATACTGAACTCCACTGAGGAAAGCTTTTCTTTAAAAAAATAATCAGGGGCCTGGGATTTTTAGCTCAGTGGCACCTCGCCTGCCTAGAAAGCACAAGGTCCTGAGTTCAAGCCCTGATATCTATCTATATCTATATCTATATCTATATCTATCTATCTATCTATCTATCTATATATATGAATCTGCCAATACTACTGTCCAAACCTCGATGATACTAAAGGTCACAATCTACGTTCATGTGACAACATACCTGCACTCAAATACTCTATCAAAGTAACACAAGCCGACATTAAGGGGGGATTTGCTCTGCTTGGAGGTACTTTTTGAAATTACTTCCTAAAACAAGAGTCAACATCTGATTCTATTTGTCTTGAGATTTGGAGATGGAGGGTTGTTGGTGCTTTCTGAAATTCTCCACTGAATCTAATGTCCAGGATTCTGCCCATTTGTGCTTTTTTTTTCCTCCATCCAGTACTGCATACACACATACGAACCAACCACTAAGCGCTTAGCGTTAGAATTTTCCAAAATAACTTCCTACAATGCTATTCGTAAAGGCAAACAAGTAGAAAACCACGGTATCCCTCCTGGTCGCCTCATCTCCACCCCGCCTCCCCACGGGACGAACCCGGAAAATCGAAGGCAGCCCTGGCTCAAGGTTACAGGAGGAACTCGTCACAGCGCAGTGGTAAGAACCGCCTGTCATTGGTCGTTCGCGGTGGGGCTTCCTCGGTTTCTGCGCCCCACCCGGCCCCCAAGGCGGGCAGGGGACCGAAGGAG